AAAAAAAAAAGTCAAATCAAATGATTACTGTATTGCTGCTAAAGAAAATATACGAAGAGACAAATTCAATAACAATAGCTGTGAGTGACTAACTTTCGGTTTTTGCAACTCAAGAAAACAACAATTACCGAGTATTCAATCATAATCAACAATTATTCCAAATTAGCCTCGTTTTTCGATTACTTGGAAACCAAACCAAAGCACCACAGAATCATAAGCTTTAAATTTTAGCCTTGCTATTGCATTCTGAAGAAACCAAACAGTACAGAATCAAAAACTATTGAATTTGTACATTTCACTTATTCTTTGGCTTTCCCAACAAGGGAGAACAATACAACAATTTGAACCTTTCAGATTTTTCTCTTCCAAGACCAACCCAACAACAAAAATACTTTTTGATTAATTGATACAAGAACTGACCCCAAACTAGCCGAAATTTCAGTTCAGCCAAATGAAGTTACTATGTCCTTAATCCGATTAGTTATTAACAAACTAGCATTCGAAGTTCCACGTGTTCACTCTAGCTATACAAGAGGTCCTTGCTTAAATGAGACAAACAATTGTTCCCCACTTTTATATTTCCTTCATTTTCCACCTAATACTCGTCACCAACCAGCATACACACACTCATATTCACACAGACATATAAGTTCAAAAAAGAGCAATTATTGGACCATTCGAAGGTTCCTAATACAAGAATTCAGCTTCAATGGGGCACAATTTTCAAAACGCCGCAATGAGTACTACATATGAAAAGCATTCAATACATTTCTATATATATATACACATGTGTGTGTGTAAGTATATGAGTGTAGAATTTACTGGGCAACTCGAGATCGATGAAGGAGGACATGTTTTCGGGACAAGAGTCAGGGAGAGAGTATTTAGAGATGATCTGAGACGAGAGGCCATTGAGGGTCCCACACAGAGCACAAGACCAGGCCCACTGCTCTTGTTCGCAGTAGGTATTGTAATAGGCCCAGCAATTCTCGCACCTGGGTAGCAAATGGCCGTCCGATCCGTACAACGGCGGGTTTCCGTTCTCGTCCTTGGCCGCAAACGGCGTCACCGTCACGCCCCACGGCAGCCCCGACGACTCCTGTGCGTCGGGGTCGGATGGAAAGCGAGGAATCGTCGCACGAACCGCCATTCGAGTGAGCTTTGATGGTGATAGCAGAGAAGGTATGGAAGTGTGAGAATTTGGGGGTTTATTTGGAATTTTTCAGGGAAGGTGGGTGAAGGATAACAAAGGATGGTTACGACGCAGGAACTAAAAACATCGCTGCACTGAAGAAGGCGTAAGTTAGCAAGGGGTGTTACACTTACAGCGAGGATGGACCAATTGTTATATGCCACGTCAGATTTCTAGTTCTCTAGTTATAAATATTCAATAAACTTCACGGAACCCACTAACTCAATAGTAGATGTTGGCAACCCCTTTGACTGGTCATAAGAATTNCTCTAGTTATAAATATTCAATAAACTTCACGGAACCCACTAACTCAATAGTAGATGTTGGCAACCCCTTTGACTGGTCATAAGAATTAATCCTTTCGTAAATATGTTAATTCCTGTACGAATAATATATTTTTAATTCAAACGAAAAAGAATTAAATCCATATATATATATATATATAAGTTAATTCAAACACTCTTATCTGTTGAAAAAAAAAATAGTATGTGTATCATTATTATTAGAAAAATGCTATTGTAACTAATTTTTTTTTTTTTTGAGGAGAAAAGAATTTGAACTCTTGACCAAAAAAAGGCAAAACTTTTACAAAGTAACGAGTACCATTTGATTAGTTGTGAGTTTCGAGTTAAGTCCCTAATTAGGTCTCCAAATGTTTCAAATATGGTGATGGTGGATGGATTGTGAAAAAATGGAGAGACAAATGCTATTTGGACTTAATTTAATACAACAATTAGAGTGATGGAGAACTTTATTTAATATATATTAGAATTTTTAACTAATCTAATTGTTATATTAAATTAAGTCCATGATTAAATTTTTAAATTAGATCCCTATAACATTGCTCAAATCAAATGAAAGTTACGAAAAGGGTTAAAGGTGGAACATTTGTTTTAGGGTTTGTTCAAAATTTAAGATAGATTAAATCGAGTTATGTGGATAATTTCTCCCAGTGTGAGAGAATGCTCTGATTATTTTGCAATCGAAGAGGAGTCCAACCCTTTTTATTTTATGTCAACACATATATACACGTGTATAAATCTTCGACATGGTATCTACTTAAGATGTTTTAAAAATGCTTATATTGGATAGTTCACACATATCTGTTATTATTATATCTCAGTATACTTAATGTATCTTTTGCTATTATTATATATATAATATTACATTCTTAGTACGTTTCTATTCTAATTTTTTTTTTAAAATTTTATTACTTTTGCCTTCTCACTCACGCTCTCATTCTATCATGAGCTAGGTTCAAGGGGTCCATAATTTTTGTTACGGTAAATTACATCCATTCTGTGTAAGGGTTTGGTTAAATAACAACGAAATCCCTTCACATATGAAAAAAAATACTATAATCCGTTCTACTTTAGTTGTCGGTAATAAATTCTCCCAATTGTCAGTTTGTAGTTAAAGAGACATAAAATTTTTACTCATGTTTTTTAAAATACCAATATTACCCTTATCATGGTTATATTTAACTTATACTTACGGTTAAACCAATTATATACACAGTATTGGTAGCTAACAATGGAGGTGGGGGTTGAGTGGGCGTGGTTTGTGTATTTTTTTTTTTTTTTTGTGGTTAAATATAGGTTATTACTAGTAATTAAGTTTGTTTTCAAACTAAATTTGAGTTTTAGCACAAAATTAAATAAATTATAAGAATTGATATGACTTTTGAAATAATTAATCTAATTAATTGAATTGATTTAGATTTTGTTCGAGTTTGCGATAAATTTAATTTAATTAACAAAGTTAATCAAATTTGATAGGAATTATGGATAAAATTAATTAGATTTGATTTTAAAAATAACTATTATTATATAAATAAATTGATTAGATTATGTTTGAGTTTTGTAACAAAATTTATGAAATAAATAATATTTTATTTTCATTTGGGATAGATTCGATTATATTAATTAAGCAATTTTTATTCCTTCAATTCTATTATATCGATATGACAATTTGCGATTGGATGTTGCAAAATTAACTAAAGGTCAATAAGTAGTGAATCTTTGGGTTGAGGGCATTACAGTCATTTTGGTGCTGTTTGAAAGATAGAACGACATTCAGGGAGGTCACTGTTATTTCTTAAACAAGAGAAGGTCTAGTTGTTATTTTATCAAACTTTAGGGTACGTGGATGTAATTTACCCTTTTATGTTATATGAAGAACAATTGGGCATTACTTTTGGACCTGAACAGAAATTGATTTCAAACCCTTTTCATGCTTTGGCCCACTGAATCAATATGATCTATTTTTCTTTCTTGCCGCTCAGGTTTTGCTAATTACAAAAAGAAAAAGGGAAGAAAAAAAAAAACTCCCCAAGCGAAACTTTTAACCTCCAAATCCGGTAGAAGAGGCAAAACAGCAAAACCTCTCTCTCTCTCTCCCCGAGCTTCAAGTGTTTGGTAAGCAATTTAGCTCGATTGATTACCCATTCATGTGTTTGTGTGAAGACATATATGAGGTTCTGAGCTGGGTTTTATTGCAGATTAGTTACTTGTTTCTGTTTTAAATGGTTGCTTTTGTGCTTAATCGATGAATAGTTCAAATTTTATTTTTTTTTAGATTTAAAAAAAATAGGTTTGAATGTTTCACATTTAAGCTGTACTATATGTTTTTTTTTTTTATATAAATGTGTGTCTGTGCGGATGATTGCAAAATTTACTTCGAGCCGTGAATGTGCTTGTGTGGTATATTTTTTGGGAGAGAGTTTTGGGTTTGTGATTGTATGTATAGTCATGTGAAAATGTTTATCTGTGTTTGTAATTGTGCATTCGAGAATGAGTTGAAATCTGATGGAAATATCATTGCAATTTTTGATTTGTGTGTGTGTTTTTTTTTTATAGATTTTCCTTTAGCTTAGGGATATTGGGAATAATATAGTTCGGGTAGTAAGGATCTGACCATGATTTTGGAGTAGACATCTGAATTATAGAAGCTGATGATGCACAAAAATGATTTTGCACATCACCTGTCAAGTGTAGGTAATAAATGCAGTGAAATCAATGAAAAAATTAAAGAAGACACGATTTATAGTGGTTCGGTCAATTCGATCTACGTCCACTTTTCAATGACTTCAGTTGCCGGGTATTTTATTAATTCAGAGGTATGGAGAATAGAGATACAAGCTTTGAGAGAATGGAGAATCAAAGGAGCAGTGGTCTCCGGTCGTCGGTCTGTCCTTTGTAAGTGTTGGTGGGGCGTGACCTTCCTCTCCCTTTCTCCTCACAGATTGGGGCTATTTTATAGCAGCTAAGAGATCATTCTGGTGGAGATCATGATTTATCCTCAAGTGAAGGAGGAGGTTGGGGAGCTCTTCATGAAACGTGGTCAAAGCTTGGACCGTTTCCTTCGGTGGTGCAAATAAGCTTCTCATGCTCTCCTCTTGATGACGTGCTAAGCAAAAAGTCTAACCGGTCTTGGACTGTCTTGGGCTTGGTAGATTCAAAATGAGGTTGGGCTCCTCAACTGGAGTTGGACTTTAACACATAAATTGGACTATTTGGGCTTAACCCATCATTTGCCCCCCAATGCCCCATGTCCAATGAGACTTGGAGAAGGAGGCATTGACTATATTATTATTATTATTCTTTTTTTTTTAACTTCAAGTCTTTTCCACTTTATTTTGAAGAGAGAGTGGTGGAGGTTGAAGAAAGGGAGGAAGTAGGTACCATTTTGGAGAATTTGGAGGCTGGTTTTGAGCATTCGAATGCTGTTTTGGACAGCTTTGGGGCTGTAAATGAAGGGTTGGACAGCGAAGGGGAGATGGGCAGCGCGAGGAGTGGCTTGGGCA